CTCCAGGCTGCAAACCCAGTAAGGTTGGAGACCTCTGGTCTAAGGTCCCTTCCAATTCTGTTATTCTGCAACTTGAGGGCACATAACTAATCAATGGAAAGACCCAGCTCCCTTGAGAAAAATATAGGAGCCCTGATGATGCAGTGGTTAGAATGCAGTAGTGCAGGCTAACTCTGCCCATTGTCAGGAGTTTGATCCTGACCAGCTGAACGTTGACTCAGCCTTCCATCCTTCTGAGATTGGCAAAACAAGGACCCAGGTTGTTGGGGACAATACGCTGACTCTGTGAACCGTTTAGCCCGGAATTGCACCTTTTAACACATACACACATACACACACACACACACACACACCACACACACATACACACACATATAAAACACACACTTTATTTCAGGTTGGGCTTCCAAGAATTGCTAAGTCGGGTGTGCTTTGTTAAATGTCGATAAAGCTGGGGATAGGATTGTCAGATGGCTACCCAAAGCAGTTTTGCCCCATTTTCCACCCTCTCGATTGATTGATTGATTATTTATTTTGATGCTGAGGCCTTCTGACTTCCCAACGACATTAATGCATTTTATTGATGACTTGTTTGTATTTTATGCATTATCTGTTTTCAGAAGGCAAGAAAACATGTTGCCGTATGTTGGTGGTTTTACAACCTAGATGTGGTGGTACAAAATCTGGGGGAGTCGAGAATTGTTTGCTTGTTTGTTTGTTTGTTTGTTTATGTGCTGTCCATCTCATCCGGAGGTTGCCCATGGGGGGTGGAGGGACAATCAGGAAGACAAAATTGAGTGGAGACTTTCCTACAGGTAGTTCTCAACTTACGACCACAATGACAGGCAATCCTCAACTTAACGACCGCAACAGGGAACAAATGACATTTTTGTGGCAGTCATTCTTTCAAATGGGCTTTTTCTTTTTTCTTTTTGAAGGAAAATGGCACACAAAAAACCTGGAAACCAGCAAATTATGTTATTGTACACTGCCCAGAGTCCCTCTCTGACAGAGGAGCAGTTCTTTGGCAAAGAAACATATAAATAAAATGAGAAACGTTGTAAATTGTGGGGAATTTGACTGTAAGACACTGGAACTGGTCATAAAGGTGAGCCAGTTGCCAAGCAACTGAAATGCAGTCATGTGACCACAGGGTGTGGCATAACATTTTATGATGACCACAAGTGCTTTAGGGCAGGGGTCTCCAACCTTGGCAACTTTAAGACTTGTGGACTTCAACTCCCAGAATTCCTCAGCCAGCTTTGCTGGCTGAGGAATTCTGGGAATTGAAGTCCACAAGTCTTAAAGTTGCCAAGGTTGAGGACCCCTGCTTTAGGGGCTGTTAAGCCCCTGTTCTGGGCCCATCATCGTTTCAAGTGGACATTAAGTGACCAGTTGGAAGATCGGAACTACAGGTAGTCCTTGAGTTATGACCCCAACTGAGCCTAAAATTTCTGTTGCTAAAAATTTGTCATGAATTTTGCCCCATTTTACAACCTTCCTTACCAGAGTTGTTAAGTGAATCACTGCAGTTGTGAAGTAAATAAGTGAATCTGGCTTCCCCATTGACTGTGCTTGTCAGAAGGTTGCAAAAGGTGATCACATGTTCCCGAGACGCTGTGACCATCCCAAATACAGGTAGTCCTCAACTTACAACACTTTGTTTTTTTTATTTTATTTTATTTTATTTTTTAAACCAACAAAACAAAACAAAACATAACACACATACACACACAGTGTATACTCCTCCTTTTTTTTTTAACAGCAATTTCATAACGGTAATCTTCTATTATTACAACACTTTGTTTAGTGACCGTTGGAAGTTACAGTGGCACTGAAAAAAGTGACTTATGACCGTTTTTCACACTTATGACTGTTGCAGCATCCCCACAGTCACGTGATTTATATTCGGATGTATGACAACTGACTCATATTTATAATGGTCGCAGTGTCCTGGGGTCACGTGATCCCCTTTTGTGACCTTCTGACAAGCGAAGTCAATGGGGTTACTAATTTAACAGCTGCAGTGATTCACTTAATAAGGAAAAGTTGTAAAACAGGGCAAAACACCCTTGACAAATTTCTCACTTAGCAACACAAATTTTGGGCTCAATTGTGGTCATAGGTTGAGGACTACCTGTACTTGTAGCCTTTTGAAATCCAGGTGCTTGCAGTGATTCGCTTAACAATTGTGGAGAAAACGTCATCAAATGGGATGCAACTCGCTTAACCGCCTTGCTTAGCAATGGAAATTTCGGGCTCCGTTGTGGTCGTAAGCCGAGGACTACCAGTACCACAAAAATTCAGAACTTTCAGCTCCTTGCAAAAACGTTGGCTTCCGTTGTGAGAATTTCCTCAGAATTCTCTGCGCCGCCATTGAAAGTAATTTCTAAAGCAAATGTCATCCAAATGACTAAAAACTTTTTTTTTTTTTTAAAGGGGATGATTTTCCTGCAGAAGAATTTGGAAGCGGGAGATAATTGCTGGGGACAATGCCAGAAACACATTTGAGGGGGCCGAAAGTCCAGCCTTTCCTCACAGCACTTAGCAATGGTGTCTTAAGCAAAGCGGCGCACGCTGTCCACAGCCCCAAACCAGCATGCCTCCTTCGCGGTTTTGCTAATCCTCTAATCTCTTGGATAATCTGTCCAAAAAGTATACCTAAAACCCCCCAAACCCCTATAAAATTGGAGTGTGCCTCTGAATATAATATGGGGAGCGGGGGGGGCGCTAATCAGGCATCATGGCTGGAGAAAGATCCCCCCCTCCCGTTCCATTAATCACCTACCGTTGCCGTTTTATTAATTTTAAGAGGTGCTTGGTTTAATCTTGTAAAGTTAATGGGAAGGAGGAAGATTAGGGGAATCACGTGGGCTCCAGAGAAGCTCGGATCGGCCTCTTGGGGTTTTCCCCCAACGAGTCAGACAATCGTAGCTTGGCAGAATCCATTGTGGTAGAATTGCAACGAGAAAGATTTTCTCCTTGGTATTCCTAATTGGACACTGTTTGAGTTGGTTAGGAGGGCCAATAACGCCTGGAAGTTTCTAGTCCTCAAGGTCCATCTCAAATACGCCCAGGGTGTCTGATTTCGAATGTTCTGGTTTTCTTTTAAAGAGGAAACAATTCGTCAATCTTCTTCGTTTAACCTTCTTAATTTTAAATGTTTTGTAATATCTTTGCCCCCCCCTTTTTATCATTTTGTAAGCTGCCCAAAGTCGCTGCAACAGTGAGGTGGGCTGCATACCAATGTAATAAGTAAATAAATCAAGAACTTTGCATGGTTTTTACTTTCTGGATGCAACACAGACATTTTTGTGCCTATCTGGTGTGCAAAAATACTCAGCTTTGGGGCAAGATACTATGCAGTTCTGACAATGGCAAGATCCGTCAATAATACAGGTAGTCCTTCTTATGACCACAATTGGAACTGGAATTTCTATTGCAAAATGAGTTACGTCTGAGTTTTAGGGTTTTTTTGCCACAGTTGTTAAGTAAATCAGTGCAGTTGTTAAATGAATCACACAATCATTAAGTAAATCCAGTTTTCCCCATGGACTTTGCTTGGCAGAAGTCAGCTGGAAAGATTCGCAAATGGTGAACATATGGCCTCGGAGTAGTGTAACCATCATAAACACATGTCAGTTATCAAGAGCCCAGATTTGTACATGATTGTGAGAATGCTACTACAGTTTTAAGTACAAGGACTAAGTTATAAGTCACTTGGATACTTGGACTAGTTGTAAATGAGTTATTTATAAAGTAATAAAGGCAGGATAAAAATCAAATACTGTATATAAATCAATAAATCGTGGCTAGTTTTTTTCATGTATCTGCTGGAAGGAATGGATGAATATTGGATATTTAGGTTTGGGTTATATAATTAGGTATTATTAGTTTAAGCTTCTAGTGTGAAACCTCGGTGAACCCCCCCCCCCCGAATCACTGCCAAAAAATGGGCAGCTAAATAAATTATTAAATAAATGAATCGCGGCTAGTTGTTCATGTACTGTATCTGCTGGGAAAAATCGATGAATATTGGATATTTAGGTATATAATTGGATATTATTATTTTAGGTTTCTATTGTGAATCCTAGGTGTACCCTCCCCCAGAATCACTGCCATAAAATGGGCAGCTAAATAAATTATTAAATACGTAGGTAAGTACAGTGCATTGGGTGGTGACTTCTCGTGTGCAAGATTATTTTATTTCAAATGTCACCCTTTGGCTTGACTCTGGTTTTCAACAACCGAGAGAGCCTTTTTAATGATGATGATGATGATGATGATGATGATGATGATGTTGGAAGGGACCTTGGAGGTCTTCTAGTCCAACCCCCTACTCAGGCAGGAAACCCTATACCATTTCAGACAAATGGCTGTCCAGTCTCCCTCTTAAAATCTTCCTGTGTTGGAGCATTCACCGCTTCTGGAGGCAGGTTGTTCCACTGGTTAATTGTTCTAACTGTCATGAAGTTTCTCCTTAGTTCTAGGTTGCTTCTCTCTTTGGTTAGTTTCCATCCGTTGCTTCTTGTCCTGCCTTCAGGTGCTTTGGAGAATAGTTTGACTCCCTCTTCTTTGTGACAGCCCCTGAGATATTGGAAGACTGCTACCATGTCACCCCTCGTCCTTCTCTTCATTAAACTAGACATACCCAATTCCAGCAACCGTTCTTTGTATGTTTTAGCCTCCAGTCCCCTGATCATCTTTGTTGATCTTCTCTGCACTCTTTCTAGAGTCTCAACATCTTTTTTACATCGTGGTGACCAAAACTGGATGCAGTATTCCAAGTGTGGCCTTACCAAGGCATTGTAAAGTGGTATTAACACTTCAGGTGATCTTGATTCTATCCCTCTGTTAATGCAGCCTAGGACTGTGTTGGCTTTTTTGGCAGCTGCAGCACACAGCTGGCTCATATTTAAGTGATTGTACACTAGGACTCCAAGGTCCCTCTCACAGTTGCTACTAACGGTCTCTTTTCCTCCTGGCTGTTCCTGTTGCAGATTCCACCAAGGGGACTACACCGTGGAAGTCAGCATCAATGATTACCTGGACATATACTGCCCACACTATGAGATCCCGTTTCCCATGGACCAGATGGAGAGATACATTTTGTACATGGTCAACTACGAGGGACACAGCTCCTGTGACCATCGGCAGAACGGCTTCAAACGCTGGGAATGTAACCGTCCAGATTCCCCCAACGGGCCCCTCAAATTCTCCGAGAAGTTCCAGCTTTTTACCCCGTTCTCCTTAGGATTCGAATTCAGACCAGGGCACGAGTATTACTACATTTGTAAGTACTGAAAGCTGTCCTACGCTTCCCATAGGAGCCGAGCAGGCTGGAGTTCCCTGGGGTGAGGTGAGGGTTGGAAGGGAAGGGGGGGTCCCATACATGAAATGAGGTTTTCGGCCTATCAAACCATCCCTAGATAGTAAGCTGGATACAGGTAGTCCTCAACTTACGACCACACATTTAGCGACTATTCAAAATTACAGCGGCACTGAAAAAAATATGACTTACCATAGATCCTCATACTTATGACCGTCGCAGCCTCCCCACAGTTACGTGATCAGAATTTGGGTGCTTGATAACCAGCATATATTTACGATGGTTGCAGCATCTCAAAGTCACAATGTCCCCATTTGTGTCCTTCCCAGCTGGCTTCCGACAAGCAAAGTCAATGGGGGAAGCCAGATCCGCTTAACGACCTTGTGATTCACTTAACAGCTGCCGTGATTCGCTTAACAACTGTGGCAAAAAAGATTGTAAAATCGTGCACGACTCTCTGAACAACTGCCTTGCTCAACAGTGGAAATTCTCCTCCCAATTGTCGTTGTAAGTTGAGGACTATCTGTAAATACTGGCTGAGGTTAGCTTTCTCAGAAGTTCAGTTCAGTTCAAAGCTGGGCTGTTTGAATGGAAAGTTATAAAAAGGGGTGTTGCGACACAGAAGGAAAACCTAGAAATGTAAGCAGCTTCCTTACATTATTAGATTCATGGTGCATGAAGCTAAGAAAGGAGCAATCTGAAACAATCAGCCCCACTGTACCCCAAGATTGTGTTGCTGGAATTCTGTAGTAAAATGGCTCATGAACATGGAACATCAGAATAACAGAGTTGGAAGGGACCTTGGAGGTCTTCTAGTCCAACCCCCTCCTCAAGCAGGAGACCCTAACCCAGGGGTAGGCAACCTTAGTTCTTTTATGATTCGTGGACTTCAACTCCCAGAATTCCTGAGCCAGCATGGCTCAGCTTGGAAACCTCTCCCTTTCCCCTCAGCATGGCTGGCTCAGGAATTCTGGGAGTTGAAGTCCACGAGTCATAAAAGAGCCAAGGTTGCCTACCCCTGCCCTATACCATTCCAGAGAAGTGGCTGTCCTGTCTCTTCTTAAAAACTTCCAGCGTTGGAGCACCCACAACTTCTGGAGGCAAGCCGTTCGACATGAAAGCAGTATTCTAGTATTTGAGGGGCTGCCACAAAGATGAGGAGGTCACGTTATTCTCCAAAGCACCAGAGAGCAGGACAAGAAACAATGGTTGGAAACTGACCAAAGGGAGAAGCAACCTGGAATTAAGGAGAAACTTCCTAACAGTGAGGGCAATTAACCAATGGAACAGCTTGCCTCCAGAAATCATGGGCTCTCCATCAATGGAGATTTTTAAGAAGAGGATAGACAGTCACATGTCTGAGATGTTATAGGTTCTCCTGCTTAAGTGGGGGGGGGGGGGCTGGACTAGATCAGGGCTTTTCAACCTTTTCACCCATTGTACCACTTTTAGGATATGGCAATATCCGAGTACCACCAGTCGCCTAGTAAGGTGTCAAAAACGTGATGACCCCCCCCAAAAAAGAACAAAAAGTGATAAAGTACAGGTAGTCCTCGACTTACAACAGTTTGCTTAGTGACTGTTCGAAGTTACAGTGGCACTGAAAAAAGTGCCCCCCAAGCCACAGCCGAGCAAGACACCTGCCTGCCCGCCCGGCAGCACTCTTTCTCCTGTCCGAGATTTCCATTGTTGTGAGCATTTCTGTTGAGGATTGGCAGCGGGGGTGGGATGGGGTGTGTGTTTGGTTTTATTCGCCCCCCCCCCCCAGTCTGCTGGGTGGTTGCAGCAGGTTTTGGTCACTTCACATGACCCTGGGACACTGTGACCGTCATAAATATGAATCAGTTGCCAAGCATCTGAATGTAAATCACAAGACCCTGGAGATGCTGCAACATTCCAGCTGATCGGCGCTTCTTCTGGGCTCAACAGAAGCGCCAGGATCAGTGCTGCTTTCCAGCTGGAGCCTGGCGTTGATCCTGGCACTTCCGCTGAGCCCTGACAGCCCAGCAGCTCCAGCCATCTCTCGCTTGTGCGGTGCTGCCACCGGTTCAGCTCATTCCCCTCCCCCGCTACCACTTTTCTAGGATGGTCACGTACCACCTGCCAGGTGCCAATGTACCACAGGTGGTACCCGTACCACTGGTTGAAAAGCCCTGGACTAGAAGACTCCAAGGTCTCTTCCAGCTCTATTCTACTCTATTGGTTGATTGTGGTGACACAGTGGTTAGAATACAGTATTGCAGGCTAACTCACTGCTCGCTCCAGGAGTTCAATTCTGACCGGCTCAAGGTTGACTCAGCCTTCTATCCTTCCGAGGTTGGTAAAATGAGGATCCAGATTGTTGGGGGCAATAGGCTGACTCTGTAAACCGCTTAGAGAGGGCTGTGAAACTCTATGAAGCGGTATATAAGTCTAAGTGCGATTGACATTTTCACCATGAGGAAATTGCTCCTTAGTTCTAGGTTGCTTCTCTCCTTGATTAGTTTCCATCCGTTGTTTCTTGTCTTGCTTGTTGGTGCGTTGAAAAATAGGTTGACACCCGCCCCCTTCTTTGTGGCAGCCCCTGAGATATTGGAACACTGCTATCATGTCACCCTTAGTCCTTCTTTTCATTAAACTAGACAAACCCAATTCCAGCAACTGTTCCTTATATGTTTTAGCCTCCAGTCCCCTAATCATCTTTGTTGCTCTTCTCTGCACTCTTTCTAGAGTCTCAACATCTCCTTTATATTGTGGTGACCAAAACTGTAACCAAGGCATTATATAAAGTGGTACTAATACTTCATGTGATGTTGATTCTATCCCTCTATTACTGTAGCCTAGAACTGTGTTGGCTTTTTCGGCAATGTTGGCAACAACATTTTTGGCTATGCAACGTTGCCTTTTTCTGGGTGGTGGAAAAGGTTTTAAGGATAAAAATGGGGCGACATCTGCTTCTGAAAACCTCCCACTTCCTTGAGACTCAAAATACCCCGCTCCAAAGCTGCCTTACCCCTTTTCAAGGATATCACAACATCCGTACGTTTTCTCCCGTCACCCTTCAGAGGACTGAGTGGAAGATGCAATCAAGAGATTGAGTTGACGAACCCCCAGGTTTCACTCACCCCAATTTAGCTTGGAAGGATATTAGTGTTTCTCCGGCACTAACTGGAGATAATCATCTATTCTTGACTCGCAAAGAACCTTGTAGGTGAATGTGTGTGATTAGGAAGGAGGGAGTAGGGCTGTGTTTGCTATCCATGCCCTCAGCGCAGCTTCAACAAATTAAAAGCCACATCTAACAGAGAACACACATTTATCCACACTTAACCACTCAATCACTGGGACCTTTCCTCCAAGCAGTGTGTTTTTATTTATTTACTAGACAACCCGTGACTTCTTGGGTCATCCTTGCAGAGATATTTCCTTACCAGATTCCTCAAATGATTTCAACAAAGGCAGAGCTTCCGTCTATCGGTTGAAAACTTCTTAAAAATTCAGGGAAACATTCAGACACTTTGCTGGCTCGAAAACAGGGCATGTGAAGATGGGTGACGGAGTCAAGCGTCAACAGATGAAATCACAGGAAACGTTTTGTGACGTGTTTGTTTTACCTCATAAAATGCTTTAGGCTCGCTTTTGTGTCATGAAATCTCGGATAAAGTTTGCCAAATTTCAATTCCATTGGTAGTCATATAGGCCCTGCATTTTGGAGGCATTTCGAAAGTTTTATTTATTTATTTATTTATTTATTTATTTATTTATTTATCAATCAATAATAATATTAAAAACAAACTGATGATTCCTGGGTATATCCATATTCAAGTAGCTAAAAAGCACGAACACCAGGAAATTTTGCAAAACTATAAAAGTTTTAATCCAATAAAACACCAAGCTTTCGTTGGCCACTGCCAACATCGTCAGGGTACATTCAAGTCGATGGGAAAGTTCTTTTATAGGTGAGACTCTTATTTATTTATTTATTTATTTATTTCCCCACCTTTATTTTTATAAATAACCCAAGAAGGTGAACATACCTAATACTCCTTCCTCCTCCTATTTTCCCCACAAAAACAACCCTGTGAGGTGGGGTGGGGTGGGTTGAGGGAGAGTGACTGGCTCAAAGTCACCCAGCTGGCTTTCAGGGCTAAGGAGGGATTTGATTCCACTATCTCCCATTTTCTAGCCTGGTGCCTTAACCACTCCACTAAAGCAACCTTGGTTGAAAACGTTTTGCCCTGTGCTGAACTGTTTCGTCCAGTTAAAGGTTCATGGACAATGAGAATTTTAGTAATATATAGATTTTATTTATCAGATTTGTATAGGTGTCCACTGTCACAAGAAATGACTGGGGGCGGTGTTCAGCAATTTTAAAAAAACCAATAATTATAGAAATACAATCATTGTAAAAATGTAAATCAATCATTATTAAAAAAATCAAAATAAATCTAAAAAGTAAGATACACAAACCGCAGACATGGAGAAAGTGAAATAGTAGAGCCATCTTGAAAGGTTATTGATTAGTGGTTCCTTGGGACACCCCCCCCCAAGGTTTTAGTGCTTTTTAAAGGAAGGAAGGAAGGAAGGAAGGAAGGGAGGGAGGGAGGGAGGGAGGGAGGGAGAAGAGGAAGGAAGGAAGAAAGGGAGGGACGGAAGCGGGAGAGAGGGAGGGAGAAGCGAAGGAAGGAAAGGAGGAAGGGGAGGGGAGGGGAGGGAGGGAGAAGGGGAAGGGAGGAAGGAAGAGGGAGAAGGAAGGAGGGAGGGAGAAGGGGAAGGGAGGGAGGGAGGGAAGGGGGAGGGAGAAGCGGAAGGAAGGAAAGGAGGGAAGGAAGGTGGAGGGAGAAGGGGAAGGGAGGAAGGGAAAGGGGAAGGGAGAAGGAAGGAAGAAAGGAAGAAAGAGAGAAAGAAAAAGAAAGAAAGAAAGAAAGAAATAAAAGAAAGAAAGAGAAAGAAAGAAAGAAAGAAAGAAAGAAAGAAAGAAAGAA